CACCAAAAAAAAAAGTTTCCATGTAAGTTGTAGCTATGCTTTCTAAGGTTGTGTATGGGTCATGCGTGAGGAGTAAATTGTCTGTTTGTTGACATTCTTGTGGTGGTTTGTTGGCTTAAAAAATTAAGGTTACATGAAAGTCATTCCTAACTATCCATTACAGTTAGTGCAGCCTAGTAGTTAAGCTTTTTTTTAATTATGATTTTAATAATTTTAGTAATGGCAACATCTTTTTTAGATGTTTTGTTCTCATTAGAAATGGACGCATTCTATTAACCCATTGTTCTGTCCATTGCTGTACTTTTAACACTGTTCTTGTTAAGCAAGATTATATCAACTATTCAAATGGCAGCTTTGCATCTTTTGATGTTGTATCGTTAATTATGTTTTACACTGGTACATTTCACTGAACAAAAGAAAAAGATTCATTTAGCCAACCTCAAATTTTGGGATAAAAGCTTGTTTTTATTCTATGGAAAATTCTGACATTTCTTATGCATTTACCTTTTTATAGGAAAATATGGGATGCCTTAACTGGTGATGTATTACACTCATTTGAACACAAACATATTGTCCGTGCATGTGCCTTTTCAGAGGTATGTGAGGCTTATTAAATCCACATTTGATTTTCATTTTATTTTATTGAACGTAAGCATTTTTTTATTACATCAATTATGTGCATATATATATATACACGCGCGCGCGTACAGGCTTGGTGTGCTATGCAATGTATACAAGTTTGCAGACAAGTTTTTAGACGGAGCAGTTCTTTATGCGGAATTTACTAGTTATAGGCTGTTAACTTTGATTTATTTTGGCAGACAAGTAAAATTTGTAATTATTAATACTTTATCTGGAATAATACAAGTCATTCAAAATTGTGCCCTAAGTTGAGAAGCTAACTATAGTCTGAGTGATTGAGCTTTCAGCCCAATCAAGTATCGGATAGATATCATTTTTGATTGGGTTCATTCTAGATATTGTTAGTAACGAAGCGACTATGTGAATCTATATTCTGTGGTGTCAGTCTGTTGGTAGTTCACTATGTCATAACTGGCCGTAGTACACCCTTTCAAGTATAGAATGAAGAAGATAGCTATCTGTAGTCTGCCTAGTTAGTTATATCAAATATGCCCATCTAGTGTAAGATTTATTTTATGATTATTGGATGCTGGTTTTTTGGCACATGTTGAAATTACACCTGTATTAGTTGTTCTGGCATATGAACCATTACTTTGTTACAGGATACAAAGTTTCTGCTTACTGGTGGAATTGAAAAAGTTTTACGTATATTTGATTTGAATCGCTTTGATGCACCACCTCGCGAAATTGATAAATCTCCTGGCTCGGTGAGAACTGTGGCCTGGCTTCATAGTGACCAAACAATTTTAAGTTCTTGCACTGATATGGGGGGCGTGAGGTATGCATTGTTTGTTCAGTTCTTTTTCTTTAATGATTTTCTCCTTTCCTTCCATTATATTATTTGGCTTTCATGGTTATATTTGCCATTCTTTTCTATTTTTTTAACTTATGTTGACATTTAGTGTTTCCTGTGTAATTGTAGAGATTGTATGGGTCTAAATGCATATGTTGTTGTTTGCCTGCCATAACTATGGACACATTTTGGGAATATAATACATAAAATTCTGCTCAAAATCAGGGAATGTAAACTTTATTGTCTTTCCCATATTTTATTTATTTCAATTACTTCCCATTTATTCAAACAAGGTTTTAAATGTGATTAAAGACTTCCCATTTTCCATCATAGAATCTATAAGACCCATCAATCTGTAATCAGCTTTTGTGAATTGGTAATTATATATACTTTATGCGCTACTTAACTTACTCGATAGCATAAATTACAAATTTGGCTATGGTGTGAATACATTTTTCTTCTTTCCCTTACTATGTTCATCCTGTCATTTGCAGGTTATGGGATGTAAGAAGTGGAAAAATTGTCCAAACCCTTGAGACTAAGTCACCTGTCACCAGCACTGAAGTTAGTCAAGATGGGCGGTACATCACAACTGCTGATGGTTCAACTGTTAAGTTTTGGGATGCAAATCAGTAAGTTTATAACAAGTATATTGTCATCTCATTTTTGTTTAATGTGTATGTTACCTGATTTGTTTCTCCTTCGATGCCAACCAGTTTTGGACTTATCAAAAGCCACAACATGCCATGCACTGTAGAATCTGCTTCACTCGAACCCAAGTATGGAAACAAATTCGTTGCTGGAGGCGAAGACATGTGGGTTCACATTTTTGATTTCCACACTGGTGAAGAAATTGGTATGGTCTTGCAAACTGCTCCTTTGTAGTACTAGCTGTAGCTGAGTTTATTTCAGTAGGATGCATCATCGTCATGTCATAACTAAAGTATTTCCCCTTATGGAGTCGAACTCTATATTTGGAAAACTTCCATGATGATTAGCCATATTTCCCCTTATGTATTATCTGATTTCTACCTTCTTTTTTGTTGCCAAGTATTTGGTCAAGGAAGAACGGAAAAAGGAGGGACTCGCTGATTAGCCTACAAGGCCAGTTAGGCTGGGAATTAATACCTAACTGATTATGCATGCAAAGTAGGAGCTTGAAAAAAATGTGGGGTCTGTATTAGAGATATATTGAAAACGTAAACTAAATAATTTCAATAGTTGTCTAATATCATATTTACTCGAGGCAAGATTGTAGTAGTCATTGACTTTGCATATATTTGCATGCCATAGTTTGAAGGTTTGAAACACTTCATCTTTCATTGACTTCCTATCCTTCTACAAGAAAAGTTAGGCATTTGTTCTCATACTGGTGGGTTTGGGTAGCTTTTTTTAAGAGGGGAGGGGAGGAGTTAGGAAATGCTAAGCAACCTAAAATTGTGTTTGTTTACATTTTTTAGTAAGTGAGGGGAAGGATTCGGAGGGTTAAAATGACGCAAATTTCCTCGCTTTCTTAACCCTCCCAAAGTGGACGGATTGGGAGGGGAGGGGTTGGATTTGAAGTGAATTGCTCCCTTCCCTTCCTATTTTCTACTCTAAACGAACATAATTTAGTTCTATCACTCTCCCTTCGTCTCCATACCCTGGTTGTCTATCCAAACACAATTAGTAACATCACACTCCCTTCCTCTCCTTTCCCTCCCTTTGGGTTTAGATCAATCATTCCCCACCCCTACCCTATTCTCTATCCAAACCGTTATAAATAAACATGTAACTAATTTTTAGCTAAACAAGTACCTTGATATCTCGTCCATTTTAATCTAGTATTGTGTTTTAAAAATTAAAACTGGGTATCTAAGCATGCACAAGTGTATGTCAGAAACATATCGGAGCGTTGATATAAATTAGAGGGTTAAGTGCGGATAGACCCCATATACTATTGCCCAATTGCGTGTAGACCCCTGTAATTCTATTGATTTTTTTATACCCCCTGATTGATTTTTTTTACTCTTAAAACATTCAAAAAAGTTTTGAGGAGGCCGATAGACCCCTGAAGTACTACTTGTGAGAATACAGCCTGCAATTGTTTTTTTTTGGGGGGCTCTTAAAATAGTCGAAAAGTTCAAAGGGGTTTTATCCGCATGTGGGCAAATAGTACAGGGGGTCTATCCACACAAATTGAACTAGAGGGGGTCTATTCGCAATTAACCCTAAAATTAAAATTGTGTAAATGAAATTTTGTATCCATGGTCCACCAGTCATGTCTGAGGAAAAATATCATCTCATGCGGACATGACTTCTATCTCCATGCTATTCTTTTCAGTATTACATGCACATGTATTCTTCATATTTTACAGTTCGCTACTATTCTTGCAGCGAATTTTTTTATTTATGGATCGAGGAACTGAGCGGCTACTTTTTCTACCATATCAATGCAGGTTGTAACAAAGGTCACCACGGTCCTGTTCACTGTGTGCGCTTTTCTCCTGGAGGTGAATCTTATGCATCAGGATCTGAGGATGGAACCATAAGAATATGGCAAACAGGTCCACTCACCACTGGTGAGAATGATGCTAATATTAGTGCCAATGGATCAGCCGATAAGGTAAAGTTCGGAGTAAATGACGTGTCTCACAAAATTGAGGGCTTCCACATTAAAGAAGGGCAGGCAGAAGAAAAGGGAGATCCCGCTGCGGAGCCTTGATGTTAGATTTTAGTTGAAAAATAAACAGGTCGAAATTTTTCAAAGGAGCATGTGATTTAAGGCTCCTGTTTTGATGTTTGTCCTGTCTGTGTCTTCATAGTATGTTCTGGGGAGAATCATCAGCGGTTAAAGTTTGTAAACGGGCCGACTATGGTTCTTAATAGTTCTGAAAATCTTACGCTTGTTCTATGTGTGATGCCATTGTTCAAGCTTGTTTTGTTCCTCTTGTTATGAGTAACTGTGAGGTCACTGTTATCAAGGATATCAAGATGTTGCATCAGCTTTACTCTGATTACTTTAAAATGAGTAATATAAGGGACGTGATGCATGAATTTGTCTTAGGCTATATAGACCCTGATTGTGGTTGAGTAACATTAATAATGTCACAATTCTGTCCCATGTAGGGTTTTAAATGTCGATTTCTGTGAAACGTGCATGGAATAATAATTAGATATTTTAAATTTACAAAATCACCCATGATTAGAGGATTTTAATTGATTTTGGATCCACGGTTTTCAATAGACTCAAGAATCTATTGTTATTTACCCTCTTGTTTCTTTTAGGAGGTACCTTCGATTAAGGACTCAACAAATAACAAAACAAAATAATTAGGGGCAAAAAGGTCATCTTGTTGTAGTATATCGCCACAGGCAAATATGAAAATCCCTTTGCTATAGCAAAATCCAAAAGACCTATAGGCAAAACCAAATAGGGAAACTAACTATGATGAAAACCTTTAAAAAAAAAAAGGGAACTTACTTAGCAAAATTCCAAAATCCTTTTTTCGACTGATGAAGAGTTCGCAACTAGTATTGTTAAAAAAAATGATACTTCAGTGTAGCAACAACTGAGGGCAAATTTTTTTTTCCTTAGTCGGTTTCAACAAAAAAAAAAAAGATAATTTAGCATAGTGACGATTAGGGGCATAAAAACCCTCCACCAAATATCTTTTAGCCTAATGAAGAGCTCGTTCCTGATATTGCGAAATATGATAGTTCAGCATAGCGATAGTTGAGGGCACCCATATGACTATCAGAAGTCTCTAACCCAATGAAGAGGTCGCTATTAATATCATCAAAAAGTTATTTCAGTGTAGTGAATTTTGAGGGTAAAAAATGTTGGGAATTTAACGCCTAAACCCCTAATGCAACAGAAACGCAGAATAGAAAAAGTACACCAAGTTTTAACGAGGTTCGGCAACTGCCTACGTCCTCGGGAGCCACACAGATAATTTCTTACTAATCAAACAAGAAATTACAATTCAAGAGCAAATCCCAAAACTGAGATTTCTCAAATAAACACTGTAGCTACAGTGTTAATAATTAAAGGGTATGAACCCCTTTCAATTCTCACTTGAGAATAAATGAATAACCCCACAATATAAAACACCTCTTCTTTAATGATCTCTCTCTCTCTCTCTCTCTCTCTCTCTCTCTCTCTCTCTCTCTCTCTCTCTCTCTCTCTCTCTCTCTCTCTCTCTCTAATCTTAAATCCCCTCTCTCTCTCTTCTTAAATCTCCTTTCAAGCACTGTTGAAAGCTGAGATTAAAAGGGGAAAATCGCTGCTGCGATTTTAGGGCAGATCGCCGCCGCCACCAGAGAGAAAAATCGGAGGAAAGGGGAGAAGCACTGCTCACGGCGAAACCCTAGGCGATGGGGGTTTTATAGGCGATGTGGATGGGCTGGCGACAGCCTGTCGCCAGCGGCCCGCGGACGCCAAAGTCGGGCGAACGCAGAGGTCGAAGAAAACGCCGAGGTCGAACAAACGCCGAGGTAAAAGGGGTTCGAACGCAAAGCTAAGAGGGGGAGGTTCGAACGCAGAGCTCAAGCGGGTGGGTTCGAACGCAGAGCTCGGGGGAGGCGCTCGCACGCGGGGCTCGAGCTCGCCTGCGTCATTCTGGAGCTCGTCGGAGCTCCTCCGCCGTCGGAGGTTGGTATCCACCCAACCGACGCCAACGGGCTATCTCACCAAGCTCCTCTCCTGTGTGGCTCCGTCCTCATCATCTATGCATGAAGGCCAACTGAAGTTGCGCACAACTCCAGTTTCTGAACTGTCACCGTCTTTGTTAACATGTCTGCTGGATTCTTACTTCCTGGAATCTTTTCCAGTTTTAACACGTCATCTTTCAACAGGGATCTGATGAAGTGGTACCGAAGCGTAATATGCTTCGTTCTAGAATGAAATGCTGAATTCTTCGCCAAGTGTATCGCACTCTGGCTATCACTGTGCAAAACATTCTTCTCCTGTTTGAATCTCAGCTCTGTCAACAAACCCTGTAGTGGATAGGGTAACGATCTTCTGTACCAGTGACATCCAACTAACAGCTGTAGTTCCAACGGTGAATACATAGCCGATGGTGCTTCTTCGGTGATCAACTTCGCCGCCGAAGTCTGCATCTACATACCCTTACACTTCTACCTCTCCCTTACCAAAGTGCAAACACTTCTGTGTGGTGCCTCGTAGATATCTCAGAATCCACTTGACCGCTTCCCAATGAGCTTTTCCTGGATTCGACATAAACCGGCTGACCACTCCCACTGCATGGCCAATGTCTGGTCTCGTACAGACCATTGCGTACATCAAACTTCCGATAGCTGAGTCGTAAGGAACCTGAGCCATACTCTCTTTCTCTTCTTCTGACTGAGGAGACTGATCCTTCGATAGACGAAAATGGATGGCCAAGGGTGTGCTCACAGGCTTGGCGTTGCCCATGTTAAATCTCTGCAAAACACTGTTGATGTACTCCGTCTGAGATAACTGCAAGAGACCTCTCTTCTTATCTCTCGTTGATGTACTCCGTCTGAGATAACTGCAAGAGACCTCTCTTCTTATCTCTCGTGATTTGCATTACAAGGATCTTCTTCGCTGGACTCAAGTCCTTCATGTCAAACTCCTTTGACAGCTGCTGCTTCAAACTCTTGATATCTTTCATATCTGCTCCTGTAACCAATATATCACCAACATATAATAGTAGAATGATATAACTGGACTAATATCTTTTGAAGTAGCAACAGTGGTCGGCGTTGTACTTCTGGAAGCCTTCCTTGTGCATGAAGCCGTCAAACTTCTTGTACCACTGTCTTGGGGCTTGTTTCAGGCCATACAAGCTCTTCTTGAGTCTGCACACCAGGTTCTTCTTCTTTTCTTCTGAGAAACCTTCTGGCTGGTGCATGTATATCTCCTCTTCTAGATCTCCGTGAAGAAACGCCGTCTTCACGTCTAACTGCTCGAGATGAAGATCTTCAATTGCTACAATACTCATCACGGTCCTGATAGTATTTAGCTTCACCACGGGAGCGAAAATATCGGTGTAGTCAATTCCTTCCTTCTACTGGAAACCTTTGACAACCAGTCGGGCTTTATATCTTCTGGAACCATTCTTCTCCTCTTTCACCCGGTACACCCATTTATTGTGAAGTGCCTTCTTACCCGTGGGCAACTCAGCTAGTTCCCACGTCTGGTTTGATATGAGAGACTTCATCTCATCTTTCATTGCAAGCTCCCACTTGCTCGCATCTCCACACTGACAATCTTCATCAAAGCTTTCAGGCTCCCCATCATCTGTCAGCAACAGATAGTTTATATATCTCTTGTTAGGTACAGGAGGACGAGAAGATCTTCTTAATATCGGAGCTGGTGCGTTGGGCTCCTGCGCACCATCTTGTCCAACAGGCTCTTCTGGCTGAGGATCTTCTGCATTGGGTTCTTCCGAGAGGTTACTCGGGACATCATCTGCATCTATAAATATTGACTCGCTCTCATCTGTCTTGTGCATGTCCTTGTACATCACCTTCTCGTTGAATATCACATCTCTACTGCGGATCACTTTCTTGTTTTCGTTATCCCAAATGCGGTAGCCGAACTCATCTTCACCATAGCTGATGAAAGTGCATCTCTTTGACTTGGGATCAAGCTTATTCCTGCCTTGATCACCAATATGCACGTAAGCTACACAACCGAAAACTTTAAGATGTGAGAGTTTTACCTCCTTTCCGCACCATACCTCCTCTGGTATTCTGTGCTCCAATGGAACCGATGGACCTCGGTTGATCAAGTAAGCTGCTGTGTTGACCGCTTCTGCCCAGAACTGCTTTGGTAGGCCTGACTGTACACGAATGCTTCTGGCTCTCTCTGTCAACATTCGGTTCATCCGCTCAGGTACACCATTTTGCTAAGGCGTGCTGGGCACGGTTCTCTCCATTCTGATCCCGTGCTCATAGCAGAACTTCTTGAATCCGGTGTCTTCATACTCACCGCCATTGTCGGTCCTGAGCTTCTTTATTCTCAAACCGGTCTCATTCTCGACCATAGCTTTCCATCTCCTGAAAGCTTCAAACACTTCTGACTTATGCTTCAGAAAGTAGACCCCCACCAATCGACGCAGTGGTGGTTGGTCCCCAAACATCTGAGTGAACGAGCTCTAGCTTCTCTTTCTTGGGGTTTCTGCCACTTGTCTGAAAGCTGACTCTCTTCTGCTTTCCAAGTATACATTCTTCACACATATCCATCTCCACTGACTACAGTCCTGGGAGTTTTCCCTTTGTGTGCATGATCTTCATCCCCTTTTTACTCATATGACCGAGTCTCTGGTGCCACAGCTTTGAAGTCTCATTGCCTGCTGCAACTGAGATCGAACAACGTGCACCTGCTGTCATATATAGGGTACCAGTCTTCCTGCCTCGGGCAATCGTCATTGCGCCCTTTGAGATCTTCCAATCATCTCCATGGAAGGTCGTGGTATATCCTTCGCCAGCCAACTGGCCTACGGATATTAAATTCTTTCTCAGGTCGGGAATATGCCTGACATCCTTCAGCTCCCATACTGACCCGTTCAACTTAATTTTCACCACGCCTTTGCCCACAATAGCACATGGTTGATCATCACCAAGATATACGTATCCAAGATTTCCGGGGGTATACTTCTCGAAGAATTCTTTCTGAGAGGTAGCATGGAACGACGCTCCTGAATCTAACACCCAAGATTCCTCCTTGCTCTCCAAAGAGCATATCAATGCGTCGTCTCCTCCTGAAGTGGAAGTGACATTCACCTCTGTCTTCGCCTCCTTCTCCTTCTGTGCACTCTTGCACTGATTCTTGTAATGCCCGGTCTTTCCACAATTCCAACACTCGATAGCCTTCGAGCTGTTGCTTGGATTCCTTGACTTGGACCTCCTGTCCTTTGATCTACCTCTGAAGTTTGATTTTCCTCATCCGTTTCCTCTGGTTGAATTTCTACATCTTGACTCTGTATGCAATACTAAAGAGGTTGTAGCTTCATCCGTCTCTCTC